CATTAAACAAACGAAGTTTGAATCTGTAACTAAGTAATCCAGATTCGCGTGGATAAAGCAAACAAGTTCAATTTCGTGTAACAGAGTATTATATTTATTTAATCACTATTTAAAAAATAATAAGACCATAAACAAAACTGAAAACCACAGATTGCTAAAAAATACAAAGTCTGACGAGGTGGTCCAAACTTGCAAACTTGTTCTGCCATTAAACTTATCACAATTTAATGATCTTACATTTTAACTTTTTAAGACTTGAAAGTACCGAATCTTTTACCAAACTTACAAGAGATACTGCAACTGAATAAAAAAACCTCATTAAAACGCATTCACGTTCAATGTTTTTCTCTTTACCGTCCAATTAACAAACGCCGAAATTAAAACCAGTTTCGGCCCATTTAATTGGCAGGGAACCGTTATTGAATACCTACTTAGTATACACGTAGGTATACATACACCAGTTTCCACGTTATCCAATTCGCAATGCCATCCAAGTTCGAATTTCGAATATTTACTTGTGTGGAGGATGGAGCGGCAACGTGGCGCGCACGGTATGGCAACGCCGCACAGCCATATTTCGCTACCCGTCTCAAAGTGCTCGGGCGAGATCAGCTGTACCTTGCGTCTGTGTGAGTGTTTACTATAGAGAGTATGAGTTATGGGTGTTTGAGTGCGTAGGGACTGTATTCTGGATTGTAGGATTCTGCGGGTAGGGTACACATACATACATACATACATACCTACTAACTACGTAGGATATCGTGAACAAGTGAAATAGGTAGGTACTCATCAGATATTTTTGTGAACACAGTCCGGTGTTTTCTTCGTCCAACAACAGTCTACAACATGTGAACATTTTATGATTTCGTTTGTGTCACTCATTACATTACACTATGCGATGAAAATCATTAAACTCAGAATAAAGTAAAGTCTGACTCAGAAAAACAGAAAATATTAATGTTGAAGACAGATTAAGCAGCACGCAGTCGTACTAAAAAGGACATTACTAATCAAGTCACAAATTAGTTAAAATTAGTAGTCGATTTGACGCAGAGAAACTACATAGTTCAGTATGCGCCTTCAATCTAAAGAGTTCATAATAATTAGGTATGTCTACTTGTCCATGACGACAATGTTTTTAGACGAAAGGAATATGGTTGTAAATTTTTTAAAATTGGATTTATTTTCACACTTCGTTTTATTCAATCTTGTATATCTAAAAAATCGACAACGGAAAGTCAAATGAAAGTCGTTTCCAAGGGTTGAGTTATAAAAGGTATTAAATCGTATTTTGCGAGCGAATAGCTCAATAAACGCTGACCGGCTTGTTTTAATTCAAAATCAATAGCTATTTCGATCGTGCCTCGCTCCGAAAATACTGGTGAACTGACATAGCTGGCTAGACGGGGCTAGTTTTTACATGTTTTTAAACTTTTTTTTTTGTTTATCTTCATTGAAGTTTAAGTCAAAGTGTGTTTTATGAGCAAACTAAGTCCAGAAAGGTCAAGAATATTATACATGTTACGCAGATATTACTACAATAATTAGTTTTTTTTTTCTTTTATAATTTGAAGCAGGCCGGTTTAACACGATATTCTTCGTTCAATCTCCCGGTTACAATGAAGTGAGGAGATTGAATTTTCGTTTCCAAAATTCTAGATGTAAGTGGTAGTTAGTTAAAAGGTCTTTTTATTATTTTCCATACACAATTATTAGACCAATAACTTCATTAACATAACAGTCCCAATAGCAAAACGTTCACCGTTGAACATGGGCCTCCCCTGTAACTTTCAGATTATTTTGGATTGTTGGACCTGCATCCAATACTAACTGGGACAATTCTAGTTTCTATCTGGACGATATTATAAGCGTCTCCAGACGTTGGATATTCTCTTTATTTTCAGAAGTCAGGTCACAGCAGATCGCTGTATAAAACAAGCACTTCTATTTAGAAATAAGGCCAGGTCAATGGTCTTTTAGACTAATTGTTGCTACAATCAATGCGGCGAGTATTTTCCGCTTTCCTTTGACCGCATTCCACTTAAATAAAAAATCAATAGTTTGGCATTAGGGCCGAGGACAAATGCGATATTGTTATTTACTGTGAACTATGAACCTTGGTTCAACAACATGTTTAGGTACAAGTGAACATTAACTAGATTACAAATTAACGTAATTTACTTAGTTACAAGATTACACAATTTTCTATTTTGTACGAGTTTTGTCGGTGAACGTCATCAAACCGGATTTACGAACCAAGACAAAGTCTGTGTTTGATATATGAATTTACATTCGTGTGCCAAAATTATGCTTTTTACAAAAGGGAATCGGACGTACCGTACTAAAAAATCTTCAAAGAAGCGAGGCCGCATAAATTGGAGTCGGTAACTGTCGCTCAAATAGTGATGTTCGTTAACTAAGTCATTTGATATAGCGGGCGTCACCCATAGCGCCTGGCGTTGGCACGACTCTCCGGCGTCATGCCATAACTGAGACTTACGAATGCAAAAAAAAACAAGTCTCAATGATCACAGACTAGTTAGAAGATCGCAAACGTTAAAGACTAATGTTATATTTGATAGCGTATGTTAATGATTCAATCATATTAATTTAATTATGTAAAATCTGATTTTATTTACCTGTTTCTGATGAAATGGTCGAGCAAAATGAGAGGATTTTACCACTGGGCTTTTCATTTTCAAAACACTCAGCTCAACAGGAAAAAGGTGGAGGTAAATGCACATTAAAATCAATAGTACCTATCATTGCAGTTATTGAGATTACAATTTAAAAATCTTTAGATTTGTCTTCTGTCGATGACGTTATTGGTTCTATTATGCAATAATACTCCGAAACGTGTGGGTGGATATTTCCAGGAATATTTCGTGCAATATAATACAGCTTAATCATCAATGACGATAGAACTGGAAACGTGTTGAACATTTTAAGGGCACGTGGTATTAAATTCTACGCGAAAAATATGGCAGCGTTTACAAAACTCATCGGAAACTGCGCAATATCGATTTTTAACACGTTTATAACACCTTAGCTAAGCCAAATGTGTGTATTATAAATAAATATAAAAGCTTACCAAGGAGAATTTATTGAAAATGTGTATTTATAGCTTATAAGGCTGATAATACAACACCATATTTGTTACAAGTAGTTAGATCAGCGCAAAAGTTATTTCTAGTTTAACAATTGCAATTAATATCTATCTATCGCTACGGCATCCAAAGACGGGACTTTCGTAGCCAATTTCACCGAACGAAATATATATATTTTTTTATAACTATAAACAGGTAGTCTGATAAAAAAATATAACGCGATGTATTTAAACAAATCACGTGTATGGAGTTATAAACTTGAGTCTTAGCAAAAGTTTCAATGAATGTGACCTTGAGAGACGCCCGGAGTCACGGCCAGTCGGGTTGCTCAATACAAATCAGTTGTGTAACTGATAATAAACATTAATGTATTATTTAGTTCCTGAAATTAGTCTAGACTGGATTTTAGACGCTTCATTTACGGTTGCCATGAAGAATGTGTGTCTACGGTCTGTAATGACACATTTTGTTGATTTTACATTACGTAAAACGTATTTTGTTAGGAAAATAACATGTTCCTCTATTTCGGTTGACGCAATGGTTACTTTTACCCCTTTTTACATAACATCACGCTTTTTACCCCCGATTGGGTAGGCAGAAGTACACATTACGGCACTTAATGCCACTGTACAATGTAACACGCACTTTTCACTATTTATGGTATTATCATATGGCGGACACAATTAAGACGCCGTGCTACTATTGACATTTAAAATAACCTCCTCCTTTTTTGGGAAGTCGGTTAAAAAAACAGATTTACTTCGCAAATGCTACCACTCGGCCAACGAGACAGCCCTATTTCTAGTTATGAATACATATTAATTTAGCAGTTAATAGAATTTGTCGACGTGTGTAGCTGGTAACAGTTAACATCACCATCGGTTGGTCTCAGTAACCAATATTTCAGTCGATATGATTAACCCATTTAACACCGCTATACTCAATTGAATGTCGGCTGCAGATTTCTAGGAACATCACCTTGACATTATCAACAATGTCAAGGTATTTCATAATTATCTTTTTTACACCATTTTTGTGGCGGTCGATAACTATAAAATATAGTTGTATTTGTTCAAAAATTTGTTTTTTGTGTGAAAATATCGAACAGTACGTTATTTATGTACCCATGTGAGTGAAATATTTATTGGTTTCATATCCAGTGAAATATTGTTGTGCTGTTGTCGATCAAAATTAACGATTTTGTAACTCATCATCAACAGCTTATAAGTACCCACTACTGAACAAAGACCTCTTCTCGTAAAGAGAAGGTTTTGACCATTAATCACCACGCTTGCTCAATACGGGTTGGCGGGTGGTTAAACTGAGTCTACTACTATTCCTTGTCCATTTATGGTTTAGCTATTAAAGTAAAGAGCTCATTACAAATTGGTACATTTATTTAATATTAATACTTATCTTACAAAATCACAATGTCTTACATCGCATAATATTGCAATCTTCATTTCTAAAACATAGACGAGTCGTGTATTTAAAAAGTCGGTTAAAAACCTTATAAAACTGAAACTCTTCTAACAGGGTACCAATCAACATTTGTTTTACAAAAATCACAATTTTACATTTCAAACTTCTCTTTTGAAATTATCCTTCCCCACATTAGTATCTATAGATAATAGGGTAGTTGACAGGGTATGAAAATGAAAATCTAATTAGTCGAGTTAGATAATGAAATCATTAGACACATATTTTTTTACGTTACGAATAGTTAGTTTAGAGAGGTTACGTTACGATATATAGGAATAGACCACGACATTTAAATTTAACTCGTCGAGTACCGGTTTTGTAGACACAATTATAGAACAATAGGTTGCGGTCACCGGTGACCGCTTGGTGTTTGACAGTTTAATGTAACTATCGTCGAAAGCATTTAATTATGTGAGAAAAGAAAACATACGTGTCTGATGTTTTAAATTAAACTACAGGACGGACATGAAAATAAAAATTAGGAAACAACCTATTCAAGCATTAAGTTTTGATATAAAACAATCTATTAAATCACATTTTTCAAAATAATAAATAGTTACTATGTTGGTGAACTACGACGTATTCGCTTCAGAGGTTTATCATCGGAATTTTCGTCATCATCTTCATAAGACGTCGTCGACTGACTATTTCGACTGTTTTCTTGGTCACTGTAACATTCAGTTTTAACAATAACTGGTGAACCGTTTCTTTCTAAATCATCTCTACAATTTTCTGCGTTGTCCAAATTCTCCAGTTCAGCGTTAGCAAATAACTTCGCAAGTTGAATCTTCATTAGCGCCTGTTGTCTGCCTGAGAACGTTTTGAATGTACTCGAGTAACTCAGGAACAGAAGGTCAGTCGCGTCTACTTCTCCCAGTCTTTTAGTTGCGGTTGTAGTGTCTGTACTGTTCCGAACTTCTTTTAAAGCTTGGAATTTAAATGAAGTGTCATCCTTCGAAGATGTCAATGGAGCCAAGGGTGGTGGTGAAATCGCCAACATCGACGCCAACTCCTGGCGCACCGGTTTCTGAAGCTTTTCTGAACTTTTTGCCGCTGTTGGTGTTGGTTGAGAAGAATAAGATTCGTCATTTGCTAAATGATAAAAACTTCTTCTATTCACCTGATGTTTATCCAAGAAACTCAAGTGTGAAGCCCAGATGTACTCGTTAAGTTTCTTGCCAGTCGTATATTTCAATAGCTTCTTGTGCTTGATGTAACTATCTCTTACGGTCTTCCATTTGTGTCTGCAAGTCTCACCTAGAAAGATTACAATCAATCAGTAATATGACCAGAATATCGAGTTGCAAATGTACTTACCTAATCTGTGAAAGTCATTAGATAAGAATATCAGCATAAACAACAAATTCCATAATGTAGGTATTTCAATGAATTTACTTAGCAACTGACAATTTGAAATGAAACATACAAGTACCTACTTACCAGATTCGTTCAATTCGCTTGCAATTAATTCCCACGTGGCAGTTTTAAGGCTGGGGTTTTTGTAATCTCTATGACTTATGTCATAAAGGAATACGTTTTGTCTTACTAATTCAATTAATCGCCCCACGTCCATAATTAACTGATGTTCTCAATATTTATTGTGTCAGAATTTCAAAATTAAACAGAACCGTTAAACAGTACGAGTTCACCAAGCTGTATGCACAAGCAAACTGTTGGCGCTACGCTAGCGTCAGCGTCCCGTCGTCGCGACAGGCCCGCCCCGCTCGCCCCGCTTCGTTCGGCGGCGTGGCGCCATTGTTCGCTCACCCGCCGAGTTCGGCTGAACTTCGTAAACCTTCGGCAAGAAACAACGCTGACGCGACGTTGCCAAACCGACACGCTTATTTTTTTTAAGCCAAAGTTTGAAGTTTAGCTTAGGCGACTAGAAAAAAAAGATATTTGTAGAAAACTACGAAGGGTCCAAAATCAGAATATACAACCTAGATCACTTTCACTTACGAAGTTATTATGTCAGTGCGAGGCATGGGCGTAGCCAGCTTTGGGCTCAGGGTGGGGCAGCAGTCAACCTATCCCCCGGGGGAGGGCGGTGGCCCTCCGATATTTTGTACCTTGAGCGGTTAATCTCAAACTTGTTAATCTCTTAATTTGAGAGGTTTATATTTTCAGGTACAGAAAATAAACAATCGCACACAGTACAAATTTTATAGTTTTATTTAGGAATACTCGGTGTTATAAATTAAAGTTTTAACTAACGTACGTTACGTATATGTGTGAGTAATATTACTTCAAGAGAAGACGGCGTGTGTTCTGGCAGAACCTATTAAAAATTATCTTTTCTTCTAAAAAAATATTTTTCGATTCTGAGACTCTTGTTCTGTGCACACTTAGCATACACAGGCCGCTTAAACAATTTTCGCTCATGGTTGAAGCCACGTTTTGACCCGCCGTAATGTGCTAAACGATCGTTCTATTGTACAGGTCGTACAGGGCTGGGCAAGCAAAATAGCGAGCGCGGTTTTTACACTAGGATAAAATTGCATTTTTTTTTACACTTTATAGGTCGACGTTTGACCACCATCTCGCCTGATGGTAAGCGATGATGTGGCCGAAGATGGAGCACGCCTACCTATGAGCAACCTGTTCACTCGGGACTTGAAGACACCCAAGTCATATTTGACGGGAAACAGCCTCTGGCAAGAAATTCCTTGACGCGAAACGCTTTGTGCGAATGGGTGGAATGTCCACCGTATAAGGGTGGCGCCCCGCCGTTCGTCTGGTGGTACGGTGGTGAAATGGACTAGGGGGAATAAGTTTGTGCAATTCTCACGCACACTCACCGAAATCTATCCGATAGAAGACCGAAAGGCTTGCGACTTTGCGCCTGTGTTCGAGGCTTTGTAGCCGAGCCTCCTCAAGCAAATCGTCATTGATGAGCTTCTTGGCACGCCTCTCGGTGGATTCGAGGGCTTCTAACTGGTATTTCATCGAGCCATCCTAAAGATGGGAGCAGTACTCCATTCTCCATACACGACCGAACTTGTGTTTGGTAAAGAGTGAGCAACTGCTCCAGCGCGAAGCACCGTCTCACCCTCGACAGGACACCCAACTTTCTACCAGCCAGTTGCGCCTTTGTCTCGATATATGAGCCAAAATTGAGAGTGGGCGTCAGAGTTACGCCGAGAAGCTCGAGACGGTCACCCATCGGAACGGACACACCTCAGAAAGTAGGAGTCAGTGGGAACCGACTCCGTTTAGCGGAAAATAGACACGCCTGGGTTTTTCTGGCATTGAACCTTACCAGATTGGCGTCACCCCAATCGGAGACCGCCTGCAAGGACAGGTTCAGACGATTTACCATAGATTCTCTCAGAGACTGGATTTGAGTTGCACTGGTTCGCGCATCGGACACATACCTCTCAACAACGGTGCTGTCATCTGCGTACCCAAAGATACCGGGCTGGAGCAGGTCATTAATGTGCAACAAAAAAAGTGTTGCAGAGAGTACTGACCCCTGAGGAACCCCGGCATTAATACCATGTGGATTGGATGAGCAGCCATCAATGACCACTCGGATCGATCGATCCCTCAGGAAGTCTGTTATTCATCTGCACAAACCAGTGGGGAGTCCATATGCGGGAAGCTTGCCAACAAGACTATCGTGCCAGACCCTGTCGAAGGCCTTCGAGACATCGAGCGATACAGCTAACGCTTCCCCGTGTTTCTCGATGGCCTCGCTCCAGATGTGGGTGGCATATGCAAGAAGGTCCCCAGGAGATCGGTTTCGGCGAAATCCATAATTTCAATTCCGAAATTTAGGCATTTCCGAAATTTTGCACACATCTACCAGTTCCATCTCCTTCAAAGCATTAATGTCCGTATTTTTTTATTCCCATAAATTATAACACATCTAAGCCTCGCTTTGGAAAGTATCACTTAATTTACAAAAATTAAAACAAAACACAAGATAGCTACTGGTAACCGCTAAGGAGTTCCCTCAACTATGATACTACTTCATCATCAGACCCTTATTGGCAATCACATACCATACAAATTAATCAAACCCAAACACAATGTAGCTACTGTTAACCGTTGCGGAGTTCCCTCGACTGCCTATCGGCTCCATCATCAGATCAGCTCCAGACCTTTATCAGATTGTAGTGGTTTTAAATACTCAACGAAAAAATTAACAAATGCACTAGTAGCCCTATAATTTTTAAAAGTTCCCCTCGGTTTCCCTGGGATTCAATCATCAGATCCTGACTTCATGACAATGGGACCAAATGACAAATATACCCTTTCAAACAAAAAAAGAATTTTTGAAATCGGTCCAGGCGTCTTCGAGAAATCGAGTAACAAACATAAAAAAAAATTACAGTCGAATTGAGGACAAAACAAGCAAACAATACAAATCGCGCCACGAGCCATAGAAGATTTTAGTCTGCGCTTCGCGGCGCGCGGGCGGGGATGAGTAACCGCACGGTGATGAATGGCTCGGCTCACTACGCCACAAGGCAGGCGGGACGCGTGAGGCAGCAGCAAAGCGCTGCCTCCTCGCAAACCAGCCATCGCGAAGGACACACCGGACGTCGGGGATCGCGGGACGATCTCCGGCCACCGTAAGCGCGGGCATGTGGGTGGCGAGCATGGGTGGCTCCCCGTCCGACCAGAAATAGACCCAAGCGTACGGCGCGTCGCGTTCCACGCGTTCGGAGTCACGGGGAACCTAACGGGTAGCCGGGGCTCCGACTCGACGTGCAGGAGAAGGAACGTTTTTTAGTCAGTAAGAGTCTGAGGAGTCTGACACTCCCTCCCGCCTCACCCAGGCGGGAGCAGTCATTCGATGATTTTCCCCCCTTAAAATAAAAAGCCACATAGTACCTATTCTTTTAGGGAATACGGCTCGCTTTCAAATGACGCGCGCACCGCGCACGTTCGGGAACTCGAGAGTGCATTTTGTTTTGATCGCGCTCTTTTCAAAATCGACAATTCTTTTTGTGCAATAACTTACGGATAGTATGATTGTTGATGTTGATAGTTAGAGTTAGTAAAAAAACATTGTTTATTCAGACACCTTATGGGTCAGAGCCAGGGCCCAGGGTGGGGCAAGTGCCCCAGCTTGCCCCAGTGTGGCTACGCCCATGGTGCGAGGTGTGATTTAATTGTATGGCACTATTTACTCAATATAATAAATGCGGCAAAAGTAAGTCACGTTTGTTATACTTTCACTGACAAATAACAGTACTGGGTAAATTTTGATGAATTTATTACAAGTTGAAGCTAGGAATTTATTTCACTAAGGGTCAATGTGCCGTCCATATAAATTGAAAATAAATTATTAAACTCAGAATGAAACATTAAAGACAACATTATCTTCGATTAAATTATATAAGGCAAGTAATTTGTTTTCAATTAAAAACGAATTATTGCCTAATTCGGTTAAAAATTTACAGATAATATAATGAAACAGTTGAACACCGTTCCAATTTATGCGTGAAACGTATAAAATGAATGGCGATTAATAATTCAACGGCAGATTTGTTAGTAAAACTCGGCTCGGACCCGTTACGCGAACGGTTTTATCCTGATAAAATGGTATAAAATAGGTAACACAGAGTTTGAACCACAGAATATTTATAGGTACTGCATTCATTATTTTTTTTCTACTATACTAAGATAGGAGGTAGATTTGATAGATTAATACAGCTACGTCTACCTACATAATTCGTTTATTAAACTGTCAAACACCAAGCGGTCACCGGTGACCGCAACCTATTGTTCTATAATTGTGTCTGTATTGACGGTACTCGACGAGTTAAATCATCATAAACAAGAAAACGGCCAGCCTTTTTATCATGAAATTCTAAATTATTATTATCTAGAAACTAGTAATATTAGACTTTCTTCACAAATAACCATAGACAAAAAATTCGAAGTAAGAAACGTGTGTTATATTTTGAGGTTAGTTTTAGCGCAATGTGTCGTCATACTCGTCATATCATTGAGGGTCGACGAACGAGTGTTTACTTAAACTAGAGTAGTTATAGTTAACTAGTAGGTAGCTAGCAAGAGCAAGACATACTTCGCTATTTACAGAAAACACGATGTTTACAAACTACAAGATAAAAACACATGTTACGTCATGTCAAATGCATACATTTTTAAATTGCCACAGATTCATAAATTCTATTGCGTAACACATATTCTGTCTTTGGTCGTAAAAAAAATAGTAGATGTATCAGAAACGTCACTTTCATTATATTAGATTTGATTTGATCAGTTTCCAAAATAACATTATTATTTTTACAAAATGTTTCTAAAAATAATAATGCCTTAGTTCTAAAAGCTGGTTTAAAAACACACTAAACATAGGAACTGAACTGTAGAAGTAAATATTCTAGTAGGTAAGAAATAAGTCTTTTTAATATAAACTATTTTAATGAGGTATTTTACATCTCTCTTGATACATCTACAAAATGTCAAGCTGTTGCTTCAAATCCAAAGTGGAACACGCAACCTATCGCAGATGCCTCATCCTGATTGCGACCGACCATTACAATGCAGAAATATATTTATTTAGGTTTTGATAAATTAAGATTGTAATATTGTACACTTTTGTAATCAGACGATACGTACCATATTATCAAAATCGGTCAAGCAGTTTTGTTACTAATATGACATCTTTATTCTGAAGCTATTTTACATCGAATCCTCAAACATCAATGTATTAACCAGTAAATTAAATTGTCACAGTCGAAACAACAAAGAAGCCAGTGGTAGAATTCATAATTAAAAAATAATTTGTTTCGTAATTAAACCTTTCACAATTTGGCAGTTTTATGTACACAGTTTTTATCGCTTATAATTCGTTTAAATTAAACGGCATGTGTCATAGTAATTACACAAACTACGTAGAAATGTCGATGACGTCACGATACTCACGATACACCTGCTTTTTACGACTTCAGGTCATATATGAGTAAAATAATGAAGCCATTAAACTATGGTGTAGTTTTATGTAAGTACACATTGACAGCTGTTACACAGGGACAATGGATGACAAATGCCCAAAGCCACATTAAATTATCAGTCCAAACAAATTGCATTAAAACAAAAGTCACAGTGAAACAAGTGAATTTATTTCTGCAAATAGGCAACAAGGCAGCACTTTTACACGTCATTTTATAAATAATAAACTATTACAGGCCCTCACATAAGACCTTCGTAGAAAAAAAAGTGTAATGAAAAAAGTTTTTTTTGTCTGTGTGATTTTATTTATTTTTAATACTGGCTGTCTGGCTCATCCAGACGTAGAAAAAAACAACAATATGTTATTATGATTCTGAATTTAATTTTTTTTTACATTTATTTTTTACATGTTTATGTTTGTTCAACCTGTGTAGATAGACGGTTTTTCGTAAAAATAAACAGTAATGTACGAACCGTACGTCAATGATAAAACAAAATATTCTCATATTATTACGAAATAATATTCAATTTATGATTAAGCGCTTGCAAATAATACCATATTCTTGGTATAAATGTCTTATAAAATATAATTCCTGTTATAAAAGAATAATACAATAGTAAGAGGGACCGTCTCCAACATAACTTGGGTGCCGTGCCGGGTACTTGCGTTGCCAGTTCGCAACAATACCAGCTCGGCTGACCGGTTGTACTGTTTCCAATAGCCGACTAGCAGTAAAACTAAGATGAACAAACCAGCCGACGCGACGATATTATTGTTTAATTGAAATTCTACTTGGAATCTTCGCGGAATGTCAACCAGCTACATAAAACAAGACCTACAATTCTTATTACACGTACAACTTTCTAGAAACTAATGAACTATCACGTGTGTCTGATCACCACATTCAGTAAGTACGTTTCATTTCGAAAATAATGTATTGAAAGGAATACCATTAACCGTGGCTGGAGATAAAATGAAAATGGACACAATTTTCAACGGAACTAAATTGAACGGAACCAATTTTCGTTGGATTCGATTGAAGCGTGCACCGTAGCTTTACAAAGTTAAAGTGTACAGTACAGTCGAACAAAATGCCAGTTACAAGTGAATAACTTTATTTAGGTACCGATGTCTATTCCACATTAGTCTTAAAAACGTCCTGGTGTGTTCTCTAGTTGCCTCCTTGTAGTAATGTTGGGGGGTTTAGCATCTATGGTGGGTATGTATGTGGGTTTATGATAGTACCTGTGCATTGGCTGTGTCCGTTGCGAGTACTGCGCCATGGCTCGTGATGCGCAGCAGGCATGGCTAGGCGGCGCGCATGCCGCGGCGGGCGCGGCTCGCTAGCTGCGCGCCATACCGGCGCTTCGTCGCACAACACACACAAACACGGATGCACACGACACACCACTGCACACGACCGACACGACCGACGACACTGCACCGATAACCTGCAGACAATACATTCAAGTTACAAAACGGTATTTATTACTCCCTACGATCTTTCAGCTCAATGATATTTCAGGGACTGACTCCAAATAACCACCAAATTCGATACATCTTTCCTAAATAAATTACACCTGGGGATTGAACTCTGGAGTTCAGTCTGACAGCCAAGCATCGATCACTAGACTGATGAGGTAGTTTCGTGTCAAAACTTTTCAGTGAGATGTCAACATTGAGTTATGAGGGCCTTGCATGCGCTAAATAAATAAAATAAAAGGTCTTTGGATTCGCAAAGGAATTATGTTCAGTTCGGTGACATTGTACCGTAGTCAAAGACTTGTTTCAACTAATAAAAACTGAATGAATCACGGAACAGATTCCACCAGGTAGGCCAAACTAGTTAAGGTAAATTTTCCATAAATTTTAAAACGTTAAAATATCTACATTTCCATTAAGCACTAAAAGCCAGGCCATTCAAAATTATTGTTATAGATTTTCCTGCCTTTCACTCGGATTCTCGGATGACTCATACAAATCGCTTTGATATTTTTAAATGGCACCTGAATGCCGAAGTTGAGAACGGTTCCAAGATTCGGAAATCAGGTTTCTAAGTGCTAACTAAACTTGAAAAAAAGAGCAGGTTTTTGTTTGCTTGCAGTTGAGGCATGGGAAATATTGGAAAGATACAAAATTCGAACTTGTGTGTTGTTCCTCCGGAAGGGATTCGTGATGTGCAGCAATAAAAAAATGCGACGTATCCACATTTTTAGTGAACAACCCATCCAGTTTATTAATTGTGTCTATAATGACGGTACTCAAAGGGTTAATATGAATCCCGGTTTTTCTTGAAACTAGTCGAACTTTTTTCGAACACTTCACATGAGTATTTCTCACTACTAGATTACAGAACTAGTGAGTTTTAAATCCTTTTTATATCTAGTATGGCGTTAATATAACAAGATGATGGATAAAGACTGTCTATGTCGGCAGGTGAGGGAGAAATAGATAAGACGCAGTTGGCGCGAGTATTTTTAGCACGAGCATTAGAACCTGGTTCATTGTAACGGAAAAATAACGGTAGTTAAGGTGTTTCTATGACAACCACATGAAAGGGGTTAGTAAGGGATTTCTAAGAATATTGGTCATTTATTGGCAGAACCAAAAGAAAAAGAACGAATTTTATTGAAGCTACATAGATTGTAAGTTTCTTAAAGAAAAGTTTGCATAAATTGCTATGTTATATTTTCTATTCATGGTACAAATCTTGTTCTTTTTATGATATAGAGATAACGATCAATATCGTCCATAGACAACAGCAACACCAGATGTTACAAATGCGTTTCCTATCCTATCCTAATATCCTGGCATGCTCCAATTGGACAATTATTTATTTTCTATAATTCTTTAGCCAATGGACAAACAGACAGGTCAAGTGACGAATTAGGGTTGTGCATACTTGCAGAGCCCCGACACTGACATTCCGCAAGGCGACACTTTGGCAATCCAATTACATAAACCAGTAGCGTCGTGTGTCCACGTGTTCGCAGGTCATATTGCTGCTGTCCAGTTTGTATGTCAGCCATTAGACGGAAACGTGAGACTGCATTATAGTTTATACTAATGGTGGTCGGTTGACGTACCTGAGCATAAATTGTTAATGAAGTCATTACAACATGCATGCGGATTGCGGTAGCCGTATCTCTATTGCAGGATACTTTATAAAATTGGGTATAATAAGTTATGTCATGAGAAGGTTTTTCAACTACCTACTTCTACAGCTTATAGTCGCCATTTCAAGCATGCCATGGTGCAATAGAAGACACGAGACATAAATTCGCCGGGAGCTAAACGTCTAAGGTGTAGGCTACGTCAAAATTAAGTTAAACTTCGGTCGACCGTACCTCGAACCATAATTAAATTACCAATAGTGGAGCGCAAGAGAAATAGTGGTGAAACGTTTATAGAACCGAACCGAAATGAATTTTGGTGCTAAAATAACGAAGTGCTTGAATAACAGTTATAGCAAACCAATAATGGATATGGCTGGCTGGCTATAAAATATAGGTCTTTCAGACGAAATCTAGGTCACACGCTATATAGGTACTACGAACGAATTTCATTTTATTTGTAGCCATGTGATTGTGTTAATGGGTCACGTATCTATATCGTTCCCTATATGGGGTTGGTTCGAAGCTTATTGGAGTGGAGTTTCAGAATTCTCTTTTTTTAATATAAAAAGCACTGAGTTTTACAGAATGGTCTAGAAATAAGCGTCATCATTGCCGTTGAAAGAATTCTATGAGGAGAAAGTTTAGTGAGAAGATAAAAGAAAATGTCTATTTACTGCTGAGAGAAATATGTATATTAGTATAGACTAACTTGGTGATACTTCCATTACGTTTTACGATTCCGTAGCAGTAAAAAATTACTATAAAAACATGCAAGTTGTGCTAAAAGATAAAATAGGTACTGTTTACTACATAGAAGATGATGATCTAGATAACAATCACAACATAACAACAGCTTTCCCTATAACTACCATAATCCAATTTCTGTGTTAATATGAATTGAATGGAATGCAATCACCCGCCTAGTCCCGGAGGACATGGTTAATTTACTGTTGTATCTATTATGTACATTATGCAACTGTGAGACCTATTATCTCCAGAGAGTATGGGATTAGGTAAACGCCTCAAGGTAATTGGGCATAAATAGAACTAATAAATCGATTATGTATTTTGATAATTTAGATTATTGGGTTTTCACAAATAATACGGTGCAAGTGTCAAATTGTGGCTATTTTACGGGATTTAACTTGTACTGGTTTTTTACATGAGACTCGTAATAATATAACATCACGCCTTTTATCGCCGAAGGAATGAGCAGAGGTGCACATTACGGCATTTAATACAACTGTACAATGTAACACCTATATTTCACTATTTATGTTATGAGACCCATGTAATATCCCAGACTACGATTATATTTATCCCAGATAGATTTTTTTTTAAATCCCAGTACTACTTTGCTCGACCTGGGAATCGAACCCAAGACCCCATGCCCAGCAGTCGCACTTGCGACCATTCGTCCAACGAGACCAAAGACTCGTAATATAATTGGCGAAAAATTAGTGGAGACGGTGACATTACACAAATAAGCGGCTCTCGGACTATCTCTTTGAGATAAAGGCATGCAATTAAGGCTTCCTAACTATTTTAGGTATTATTTAAAATTGGTATAATTCCATTATAGCTAATTATTTTTATATAACAGTGTGTAACAGCTAGTGTTGAAGAAGAGTCATAAGAGTCTATACCTTGATGGGAAGTAGTTACTATACTAATGGGCCTACGGAATGGATATCTGCAACAGCAGAGGTGAAACAAATGAAAAACAGTTTATTTCATAGGCTAAAGACTTATCAAGCCAGGATGTTATTCAGACTGATTACCATGTGCTAAATAAGCTGAATTAAACAGTTGTTGATAATTATATTAAACACTATTTCGTTAGGCCAGTCAGACAAACAAGCAAGGAGCAAGGATTGTCAGATTCAAATTACAGATAGGTTATGTTAGGCCTATATTCAGCAGTAGAGTGACCTATATGACGATGAAATGAAATATTGAACTTAAGAACTAGTTAGTCCTAAAAATATAGTTTTCCAATCAGCCATTTAAATAGGTAATTTCCTTTCATCGCCAATAATGATTTTGCAACTGCGCCTGCTTATCGGCCTAGGTAAACGCAATACGTCTAGATATTTTGAAAACATTTTTAGTGGTCGTATGTGGTAGTTATGCTAACTATACAAACAGTATGACTCAATATAGTTAGGCGATTATTTCTACCTTCATAACAGGGTTAGGGGGGGGAGGGATTGGATAGACTGATACTAGAACGCTAAAATAAATGCTATTATCAAAATGACTTTGCTGTACATAAAAATCTAAATCTGAACGGGGAATAATGTTGTTGGGGCCTCCGATCAGTCATAGACGTCTTACAGTTGAAGATGATGAAGAAATGGAGTAACAGAATAGCATTAATTGTGATCACAGAATCAGTATACATACCTAAGTACAATAGATATCGTCACGCTCATGTCTCATTCAGGTAGCCAAATTACACGATCCTGGTTAATCATATTATTATCTACTTCTTTTAAATCTAGGTACATTCACTTCTGCATTGTCTTATCATCCATCCTCGTCGATGGACTAATTTTCATTTATAATCTGTGCTAAACTACCTATCACTATAAAAACTCCATGTCACAAGCAGCGCCAGTCTCCCCACTTTACTGGCTGAGCAGGAGGATTATAAATTCGCTACGGTCAGCATCTGATGATGATAAACGCCGACAGAAAATACATGGTAGTTACCTTGTTACATTATTCACATTAAAATGGACACTGAGGGGACAAAATTCAATGTAAAACGAATTATTTTATTCCGAATGTCTCTTGTATTTTTTTAATGGAGGTCTTTTATTGTCGTTCCCCAGGTTGTGAATATTGTCTATGGTACGAGAAGGGGACATCTTATAATAGGTAAGTAAGGTAGACGTACTTTTGAAGAAACGTGAAATATGTGAGAATTACTAGATTCATTTCGATAAAATTTATCATTTGAAATTGTGAGGTCGGTATTTGGTAGGTAGGTAATAGATTCGACGCTAAAATAATGGACCTAAACACTTCTGGTTACATTTTCGGCACATAACATTTTTTAACTAACAAAATTGTTTTCTGTCTACCTGCATGGGACCAAGGCGTGAGTTTAACGAGGTATATGTAGGTATTGTATGTATTTATCACATAGGATACTATTTCAAATAACAAATATTGCTACACACAGTAATAAAATAAAAGCACAATTTTATACTTGTGACTAAACGGATTTATATACTACTGCGTAATATAAGTAGCTACGCAGTTATGTAGCTCGATACCAATTATTAAATATGTATGTTATTTTCAGTATGTACCTATATCTTGTGTAATAATACCTACTTTAATATTACGTACTCGAATTATTATTGAAGTCAAAATTGTAAGGTAGAATGAAATAAATACGAACTTAGGTTGCTAACTCTTTAAATAAATGTGTACTATAGTACCTATTCTGAATGTTACTATCTCCAATTTAATAATTCCATTTTAGTTACGATAGATACCTACTTCTATAATTTATTTTCTTTTTAGGAACCTTTGGTGTTTACAATAATTTACGTGATATTCTTTTAGAGAGTATACGTAGGTAATCATAAAATAGTTGATGTATTATTAAAAACTTCGTGAAACAGCAACTTATCTAATTAAATTATATTATGCGACATGGCGTCAAGGCACAATTTTGCACAAACTAATGAGATTTGAAAATCTACCGACATTTTTTATTGATACTTAGGTTTGTAGGTAAATAGGTACCTATTTTATATTTTGTACCTAAATAAGTACGTACATTTACGTAGGTATATAAGTTATACAACTACCACCTATCTGACTGAATGTCTTTATGTACAACGGTTTTAAAATTGAGTTTATTTTGTCTTCCTTTAGTTTATTTTTTATTCTGACTGACTGACAAAAGGAGGGTTAATAGATTAATTATTAATTAAATCGTCGAGTATCGGTTTTGTAGACACAATTATAGAACAATAGGTTGCGGTCACCGGTGACCGCTTGGTGTTTGACAGTTTAACGGACCTACTAAAGTAGGTTCATTTACGTAGAAATTGGGGTACTGTTTATGTACGCAAGATGGCTGCCAGTGGCTGGATGAGAAGAGTTGAAGATCGAGCCCAGTTAGCGTTCTATTGGAGAGGTCTATGTCCAGCAGTGGACGGAACCTGGCTCACGGCCATTATGACGTACCTATGTAGGTATTTTTAAATTAATGAATTACCGTCATTCAACCATTTTTAGAAGAATTTTGCATCTTTAGGTAGTTCGAAAAACATATGTTTTCCCTGTGACACTGTTTCAGTGTTCACACTGAAACTACAGACTAACATAGTACGATACTAGTTAAATTATGTTTGAATTTACTAGCTTATTTTCTTGTAAGATTAGATTCTGTTCAGAGATAGATTTCTGTTCCAGCGTATAATTTCACGTAAGTAAGTAGGTACTTTTCATATGAAATTTATGATTTAAGCTAACAGCAACTAAGTTTACAATGTGAATTTGGCCTTAAAACTAATTAACCATTAATTTGCTAATAATAAATTCGCTTAGAAATTGAATTTACATATTAATTTGTGTGTATAGTATCAATACTGGGCCTTGGCTACGCTCTAGTTGTCTACCCTGGTTTTTATTGTGAGGACTTAGAAATTTGATGAATGAGTGGGTAGGTAGTCTAATGTTGGATATGTGGGATTTTTGCAATAATTATGTGTCTTTACATAGTTATGAGTATTATCGACCTAGACTGACTGGTGACGAAATGTAATTCTATATACCTAAGTATCATTAAAATAATGGTATAAACTGCGGTGTTCGGGCTTGCAATATGAAGTCTGTTTTACGCAGTGATGATAAAGACGTTATTTCATAATCACAAGACACATATTTAAGATGCCTAGACACATTTAAGAAGTCTACTATCTAGGCTCACTATTTGTAAATCTAATAAGTCATGGTTTTAAATTGCAGCAACACCTTAGTGTTTTTTACGTATGAACTAAAATAACCTGGCATGATCTTGACAAGCACTGGCTGGTTTTTATGAGTGGGAGTCTTGTGTTTAGCAACTACTTTACTCAACCTATTTTGATGTCAGACACTTTCTTTGTTGTCTTACCTATTGTATTCTAACTAGATAATGGTTGCTAACGGATTTTGAGGACATCACTGCAAGTTTAAATTAGGAACATTCGAGGCGGAGGCCGTTCGTCGGTGGCGTTGGCGCGGTACCTCTAGAGCCCTGAACCGATATAGGCCTACGGCAGCGGTCGAGGCTGGCCGTTCACACCACAACCTAATTACACGCGCAATACTGATCGACACATGGTACTGGTGTCGGATGCACAGCTATTTTAATGTTTGGCCAAAGGGCATTCCAAGATAAAAATAACGATGCGCGACCACCGCCGGCAGCCGCCACTGCTTATCGTGAGCTTATCATGGCTTACATAAGCTGGACCAGCACGTGCACCACCAGAGCACCACGCCGTGCACCACGCTTTTATATAACTATACATTGCAAGAGTAAACTGACGCCACAGTCATTTGCGCAGTTACCTAGAAACTTGATTTCGAAGGCAGAATAGGAAAAGTAGGGGAACTACTGAGATAGTTTTCACCAGACACTACCACGTCTACCAGTCACTTTACATCAAACCTAGCCTGTATATTACTAAAGTAACGTGTTGGTACTCACCTTAGAGCCAAAAACAGACGTGATATTCTCCCAACGGGACTTCGTTCACGGATTACAAGCACGGACACGCAACTCACACTCAAATACACAAATTTTAACAAAACAGACGGTCACACACCACTCCCTACAATAATCTATGTAACACAGGACTTTTTACGTAAAATGACACGTTTAGAGTTTTCGAAAAGTCCATTGAACTGTTTCGGTTGAAATTTACGTCCAGCGAAATTATAGGTACGGAATGGCAACGCTGCCTGTATAGGCGACGTGTACATTTCGCGGCGCGGCCGCTACGCGGCGCTGCGGTCGGAGGGGGGCGGAGCCGAGCGGGACGCGGCGGGCGCGCGAGCGAGACGCCGCTACGCACCACGACGCCACGTCGCAACAATATTTTTTTCACGGCGTACTTATGGGATTCTATGTCGAAACTGCAACTGTTTAGATGGCGAAGACATTAGCGGATGATGGCGAGTGGAGTGGCGACTGGTGACCTTTTCAGCGTATCGCGTCACCGCGGGCGATAACGCGAGGTCGTCGGTCGAGCGTGCGACGTTGCCAACTCGCTGCGGCATTCGAGCCCACGTTTCCACAGATTACGAAAGTCGGCGAAATCCCCGTGGCCCTTTGATACCTGCCTAACGAACCTAGCCCTAGACACGCGAAGCCATGCGCTAACCTACATATAGAATAGAAGCAAGCGGTCGGCATTACACAACACGCAGCCACTTCGACTTTACATTGTAACTTTCATGCGAATGGTGCAAAATGAGAGTTATTACGGTGGCTTACCCCCTATGGCGCCGTTCCAGGTTTCACAATTTTTGCGAAATAGGACACCCCAGGGAGGAATTAGGTAGTTCCAATGCAGCAGTCTGTGCTTAGTGAGCGGAGTTAGGTAGGTATAAAGACCCTATGTGCTATTGCGCCGTACCTAGCCATTAACATTTTACTGTGCCGCGCTGGGGTTCACAGAAGTACGCTACGTAGGTATAGATGTTTTAACACGTCCTCACGAGAGCTATGTATGGAGTGTATTGAGCGTGCTCGGTTTAAATCACAGAAATGTTTACGGGCAAAATGGATAGATTTAGAGATCTATTCGTGGAGGAGTAAATTACTCTATTGTGTTCTGCAGTAGCAGTATTATGTATGAATCTTCATAAGTTTGATAACGTCTTACGTGATATATAGACATATAGATAGGTACCTGCAAGTGCCAATCATTGCTTACATTGTTATACGAACTCACGTAGCTAGATATGTAAGTAATGAACGTAAGTACCAAATATCAGACAAAAGCAAGATAATAGGCACTATAACCGTATCGCCGTACCTACGGAGCTACGAATAACAATTGTAGGTAATCATTGAGATAACGAACGAAATATGCAATAACAGATGACGTAATAATGTAAACTGATAAAAATGGAGATTAAATTAAACGTGTAGGTATTGTTAGGTAGGTGTTTAGGTGTCTGTTTCATTTATCCAAGGCATAAGTAACAAAAGAAACGTCACGTAAAAGTAAATCTATAAAAGGGTGGGCAGAAGCGTAATGTAATGTAGGTAATATAACATCGAGTTTCGATCAGTTCATCAGCAGCCTACTGCTGAAGTGCCTACTGCTGAGCAAAGCCTCTTCTCACACGGAGAAGGTTTGAGCATTATTCACCACGGTTGCTCGTTGTGGGTTGGCGATTTCAAACTTTTATTTACAAATTTCTAATCTATATTCATTTGTTTTTGTCAAATATTGTAAAGTCTGAGCTTACATTGTGTATTTGGTTGTTAGAAACGCATAATGACGGGTTCGACTCCCGGGTCGGTATATTATGGCAATATGCTCACCTTATTACACCTTGCCCACCCTATTAAATGGGCTCATAACATAAAATAGTGAAAAGTGGGTGTTACATTGTACAGTACCGTAATGTGCCTACCCCTTCGGGGATAAAAGGCGTGAAGTTATGTTATGTAAATGACGATGATTTTCAACTTCCGAACCGAGACACGAATAACACACTCATCATAAGACCAAATCTCGGTCCCAAAAGGCAAGTAACTTGTGACTTCTCTTGTGTTGTGGGTGTCTAGTACCCAAAGTCCATGCGCAGAGTGTCGGCATTTTGATTGATTGCTTACGATGGCACGTCTTCTCGTTTACCACCATATCCCAAAATAGATAAAAGTGTCAGTCTGTATGTCAGTCTCCTAGTGAAGCTATTATATCGTTCATCAGTGTAGAGGTAGATTCCTATATAGACGAACGAGCAAGAAACTATAATTATGGTTACTGACTCCTTTTCAATCGCCTACGTTATAAGACTGAATTACAAATTTATATTCTAAAAGTATTCTTGTCTAAAAGCATTATTTTATGGATTGTCAGTAAGCATATGTGAGCACCATGTTAGATATAGACTGTAAGATTTTTTTGTTTATAATTTTTTGTTTTGTTTTTTATTTTAGTAAGTTTTGTATTTTATATAATGCGTCAAGCATTGTTCTCACATATACGTACAGTATTGGAATATGTATCAGAGACATTGTAGAACACATTTTTTTTTAAACTGTCAAACACCAAGCGGTCACCGGTGACCGCAACCTATTGTTCTATAATTGTGTCTACAAAACCGGTACTCGACGAGTGGTGTATCTTGCTCATATTCTTCTCCATTCGAATCTACATATATTTTGGAATTAGCACCTAGCGTCACCTAGCTTCACTGACGGACATACTGTGAGACTATTATTTATTTTGTATTTGTTGACGTTTCAAAGGTACTAAATAATGGTTTAATTGAAATAAATGCTTTGACTTTGGATTACTGTATTAACGTTATTCGAATAACGTTAAATAGATAACGGTTATCGCAGATAGTTTTTTGAAACTGTTGTTTCAGTGTTAGGATAACGGCACTGCTGTCACGTCGAACAATGTCAGGATTCTATTCTCGCTCCGTCGTACGAGGAGACCACACACGGCTTCTCAGATTTACTGGCACCAGCTGGATCATTAAATTCAAAGAGCAAGACCTACTAAGACAGGAGATATGTTTTGACTGTGCTAGGTCTCATAAGGAACTTACATGGTAAAAACTGCGAATCACATACAAAATATTTTTGTCTTTGTCTGTGTTATATTATACCTTTTTGCGATTAGGCGTAACGTTAAAGTTTTAGGTACGTACTGGTTTAGTTTCTGGGCCTGGATTTTTAACAAGGATCCACAATCCTTACTAATATTATAAATTGGAGTCCAGATTAAATAATAGGCTTACTTTTTATCCCGGAAAATTTGATATTTCAGAGGGAAAACAAAAGTATTGGTATAGATGGCGCTGTGTGTAAAAGGTAGTATTTTATAATTTAGCAAACAGAACACGCCATAAAACGACAAGTTCTCATTTAAATACTGAATCTGAATGAAGAGCTGTCTACTTCACTGTAACTGTAACACAAAATAAAATATTTTTAGTTAAAAATGCGCATTTTCCCCGTCCATTTTGACTTTTGAGTAGGGTAACCACGAGACAGGTTCATACCGGATTTGACGGACATCCCGCGTTCTGCCTGACAGTCAAACTGACATTCGCAGCGTTTCCATTTCCTCCTCGCACGCATTTTGTTTTGAATGAAATCTTTATTCTTGTTCTATCGTTAAAAGTATTTAGGAATGTTTAGAAAGAACAAAAACAAAAACGAATGAAATATCTAATTAGATTTACACGCATATTTAGTTAACAGGAATAGAAATAGTTCATGTAATTACCTATACATCATTATAGAATTATGTACCTACATATATTGCATAATAAAAATATGATCTGTGTAATCATTAGGAATGTAATGAGTAGAAATTGGTACATAATTGGAACGCTGTTAAACCGATTTCCTAAAAAAGATTAGGATCTCAATTCATCTATTGTTTTATTTTAATTCATAAATTCCCAATAAGTTTGATTAAAGAAATAAGTATCTTTAACATTTTCCTCGTTGAGATCTTCTTTTTGTATACCATCTAAATGTAATTCACTGAGAACTTTTAACGTTTAGTTGTATATAAATCTGAAAACCCACTAAGTCTAGACCGACTAGCATAAACTCGATGTTATGTCACTAAATGATGCGCATCACATGAGTGTTATTAATTATAATTTTGCAATAAAACTGTGCCTATTAGAATTCAAACGAGTTGGCTGCTATCCAAAGCGTAGTCCCTATCTCTGTACAAATAAACAAGATTGTCTGTTTGTGATCCTAAATCAGTTTCGCAGTGTTAAAGATCAAAAACTAGGCAATGGTGCTTAGAATATTAAACATGTTTACTTTTCTAAAAACAATTGTTTGTTTCGTGTGAGGTTATTTTTGCTTCCATGGCGTTTATTCTACTAAAACCTATATTAATAGTGCAAAAAATACTAGTTTTAAAAATACGCTTTAATGGAACTACAATGGCAAAAAAGCCTCATCAGCCAAGACGAGCCACAAGTTCTATAAAAACATTTAACTTTTTCTTGTTTCCAAAACTCCTCTTGTGGCACACAAGGCAGGCATAGTCAAAGGAGCCGCCAACATGGCGTAATTATATTACTCCTTTGTTTACTTTCGTCCAAGCGAACGTTCTTAGTCATCTATGCTGTTTATAGACACACATACAATCGTGTTTTATTGTTATATCAAAACAGAAGCTGGAAATACAAATAGAAAAGGCATTGGTAGCTTGTATCTTATATTGCTACTTATAATAAATTGTGTCGGCGTTGTCGTATCGCATGGTGTGATCGTGTGAGGAAAGTCTGGCTTCGTTCTTTTTACAAGCAGTCGTAAAATATATAAGAAAATTACCTACAATGTTACTGCAGCCATACTTAGGATTGGGTGAACAAATGAAAACAGGAAGGAAAATGATGCTTTTTGCTTTTAATGAAAAAAAAAAATGTTCTGTATAGAAATTGTTTGTGCCAGTTTACTTAGGGGCGTGACGGATGTACACCCACACAACGAACTTTTCTGCTTACACCCCATATCACTATAATTTCACTAACGAACTGTGATGTAGTTACCTAATTAATTATTCAGTGACCATGTAAAATTCAAAAGCGTAATGGGCTTTAGCGTGTAACAATGTGTGAATTAATTATTTATATGCCGCCGGCAAGTATCCAAAACGCATTGAATTTTACTCCAACTTTTATTGAATTCATCCGGTTGAAATTGCATTGAAGAACGACCTCCGTTTCATCCACGATACCAATGTTAGTCAAATCTGTGCAATCATCTTACTTCGTAGCATACTCAGTTAGTCTATTTCTTATTTGTTTTTTTATTTTAGTAATTTTCAACTCTTTTTATAGTTGTCAAGTTACGATTTTTATCATAAATTAATTCAATAGCCTCACTAATAAAAATGTATAATAAGTATCTTCTGAAAACTTGGACAAATTCAGAATTATACATAATATATCCCACTTCCATCATATCATCACGCCTTTTATCCCCGAAGAGGTAGGCAGAGGTGCACACTACGCCACTGTACAATGTACATGTACACCCACTTTTCACTATTCATGTTATGAGTAATAGGGGGTGTCATGTAATAGGGGGTGAGAATATTGCCATATACCGGGCACGGTTCAAGGTTCCGTGCTATTACTGAGAATTAAAAAAAAACCAGTAATACTTCGCCCGACCCGGAAATGGAACCCGAGACCCCTTGCCTGGCAGTCGCATTTGCGACCACTCGGCCAACAAGGCAGTCACTTCCATCTCACTTCCATTATTCATGAGAAACTATATAGCCACTAAGTATGTATAATAGCTGCTAAACTAACGCTCTTTTCAATTCTACTTTGTATAGAAACTTAAAAGCAAGCACTCTCTAGAAACTAGGTATAGAGTATAATAAAGCATGTAGGTATAGTTAATTGTATGTAACTGCAAGACCAATTAGGTGTACGGAAACGTTATCACATCTTCACGCTGAGTTGCATGCAGTATCGTGTATTCAATTACTATAGGTACTTACATACATAGTACATTATGTACACGCAAGTATGTTC